GTGTACACCACTTTGTGTTGGTCTTTCAGGTGGAATTCCAATAAAATTGATTCATGTTTGTGGCTGTAATGTGACAAAATGTGGGAAAGTTCAAGAGGGCCGAATACTTTTGCAAGCCACTGTATCTTCGGTTTCCATGTGTGCATACTAAACAGGACTAAGCACAAAGTGCAGCTGTATCTGATGAGAATCTCATTTGTTTTTATGATGAACACATACTGGACATTTTGACTGGGTGATGCCTAACTTTCAATTAAAAGGAAAAGAAGCATTGACAGAAATGTTCAGTAGCTGTTGTGAAAATCTGTTGTGGGAGTAACAAGAAACTTGCCAAAGTCACACTGAGTCACCATGTGGAAAATTTGAATGTCTGCAAAAGAAATCATGACAATCCCTTCAGCAGTTGCAGATATTTCACCCTGGACCTAAGAGGTCAACCAACCAACCAAACAAACACATAAATGTGCCAAAATATTCATAGCCACACCACTAATGCAGCTGAAAATGATCGCTCAACAGTAAACAAGGGCGAGAACAGATTGTCAGGGTTTAATGCACAGAGGTTTCTATAAAACAGGATGTAAAATATAACGACCCAGTAATTATCAGCACTGATGAACGTGATAAACCTAAACATAAAAATGCATAAAACAGCAGAAAAACAAATAAAATTCTTCATGCTGCTTCCTCAGCTGAGACATCTGGAGAAAACAGCTGGATTTCATTGCAGTGTACTACAATCTTAAATTGTAGATGCTTTATAAACGCTGCACATTCCTGTAGCTTGATTGGGGTGGCACACTCTGTCTCACTGGGACATAAACAGGCTGTCGAGGAAAGAAGGGAGCTGGACTGGTCAGGATTTAGCTCATCATTAGTTCATAATGATGGTATTTGGCCTGATAGAGGGATTACCTCAACAAGCGGGGCCGGATAATGAAACTGTGTGGTGCAGACACCTCAAACGCAGGCCGAGAGATTAGCTCATGCGCTGTCGTGCTTTTACGTGATGCAACTGGACACCAAGACTATGTATTCAAATAGACAAAAAGTGGACAGGCAAAAAAGTTGGAGAAGAAATCATGTGTAAACAATTAAAAAACAACAATCACAAAGACATTTCCAAGAAGTTTCATTCCTGGCTCTTAAGTTTAACTTCAACTAAATTCGAATAACACAGCAGCAAGGTCAGCAAATCAAACTTCTAAGATAATTTGAGATAAGATGCCCTAAAAAACAACTGGTCTGTCGTCTAAGTCCTGAATGTCCTCACACACACACACACACACACACACACACAGATCTGTGTCACAGACATGTACTAAACGTGTTAAACATGCACATACACACCACACCAACCAAGTGACAAATTCAATAGTACAGCAGCACACTACAGAAGGAGACAGAGTCTCACAGTGTTAACATCACACAAGCAAAGTCATGGCCTCTGTGACTGTACATTCACACTCACGTGACAAAAAACCCAAGTCTGGAATAACACCATGGGTGTGTGTGTTTACTGATACATGATATATTGTTATGCAAATTAGCTCTGGAAAGCCAAATAAAATAAGCGACAACTGCCAGTCGTTGAATCACAGTCAAAAAAAAAAAATCTATCCCATCTCTGGAAAGGCAAAGTACAGCTTGTTGTGGATTTACTGCAAATGAACAAATATTGGCTCGCTGAGCTCTGAGTATTTCTGTGGGGAAAGAAGACGCTCATTCACATCTGATTAGCCAATTCAAGAAAATACACTAGCACACACTCGGTATATGAGGTCAGCTGCTTTAAACATACAGTGAAACCCACCATTTTGAAGGTTAACATTAGTCAATTTTTACACGAGACTTAACACCGTCTCCCTGCAGTCTTTTATAAAAACATTCGTAGTCCACTCAGCACACGCACACATTCCTCCTGTTATTCTCTCCAAGCACCCCCCCCCCCCAAACACACACACACATACACACACACAAACTGTACACAAACGGTAGTGCTCAGCTTTTTATCATCGCATTATCTGCAGATGAGCAGGGTTTTACTTTCTTCTCCCCTCTCATTTTCCCCCTGGTCCCAGTTTTTCCACTCCACACTATCCCATCTTCCTCCTCTCTTACTCAAAAAATATCCACACAAACACACAAGGACTATGTACACATGAACACACACACACTGCCCTCCCCTTATTTCAACTGCTGGTTTTCTTATTCTTATTCAGACAGTCACTCAGAGAGAATCAGTCTAACTCTATAATCTTCTTCCCTCCTCTGCTTACCCTTCACCAGCCGCATACACTCTCAGCTTACGTGTTTGTGTGTCTACTTCTGCTGTTGATTTGTTTGTGTGTCAGAGCATCGACGCGACTCACATGCACGTTATCAGGCAGCCAGGAATCCGATGTTTGCACAGCTTTTTTTGCCATAAGGATTTGTGCACACCGTGCAGCCTGTGTTGAAGTGCCAGATAGCAGGCACTGCGAGCTGACATGCAGCAGGCACAGCACCGCAGACTTTAAGCTGTGGGAGCGAGAATATTTTTTTATTATGTTGCTAAAGTTGAAGAAAATATTGCATGCCTGTTTTACTGGCTTCACACCCGACTCGAGAACACGTTGGATGCAACTGCCTCAGTGTTTACAGTGCCTCAGATGTTTTGTGCCTGCATGCTTAGTCCGTGAGAACAACCTAATAGATGGCATTGGAAATTATACAAGACAGGTGTACTTTATCATTTCTTGATGTAAATATAAGCCCCCAGGAACAGGTGACAGAGTCTGATTCTATCAGCTAATCACATTCACAATTACAATGATGTACCAGTGTGCCATCCCTCCTGCTGTCATTCCATAATGTTTAATAGAAATACGCTACGAGAGAGACAAAAGACACACACGTGTCCTGAGGGAGCCAAGGGAAGTGCAAACGTAGCTCCAGAAAGGAGTTCAAGATCACGCTGTTACAAAATGATTGATCTGGTCCTAGATTAAAATACTACAGTTGCTTACTATTAAGTACTTTCAACTTGACTGATTTCTGTTCCTCGGCGTAATGGAACGTTGGACAAGGCCCAGCAGCAGGAAAACTGCCTTCTGCTGCCACAGGACCATTAATCATCACATCTAATTTTTTAGAAAAAGAGTAACTGCTTTTAGGGAATAGATTTCCCTTCCTGTGAATGTCAGTCCAGCTATGTTTGCTCCAGTTGTAATGTACCTAATTAGCAAAACAGGAAACATCAAGGATGCAGCACTGGCCTTGGCAACATAAAAAAATATCACTACAGGACTGCATTGATTAACTATGTCATAAATGTATACAATGGATCAAATATTAATAAGCCTGTAGTATTCAGTAAAAATAATAATTTCAATGTGCACTTTCCAGAAATCATGTAGCGCCATGGAAGTGAAATGACTGAGTTTTATCTGGATAAAGTACTTTGTTTGGACTCCAATGCTTGGAGACACTTTTTTGTCTTTTCTGATTTCCAATTTCTGTTTGGCACTTTCTGTGCATGTGATCCTGCTGCCAGGGTGTCCGTTTGGGCAACTCGATCCTGGTGAAATCACAGGCCGCTAATCGGCTGAGATGAGAGGCTCGTCTGTGGTTTATCTGTTGTTTCCATTTAAGCTGGTCCAGCTTTTAACACAGAAATTATTTAGCAACACAAACTACACCAGAGTATTTAGATTGCAGTCTGGTATAACTGTTCTTAATTACCAAAAAACTCTTATTTTATTCTGCTACACTAGCAGCATGGCTGGAGGAATGACACTATAGATCAGCTACCTACTTTACACCACAATAAAACATCATGATGGTTAAAATCCATCAGATTATGGTGAGCCTCTATCTTTCACAAGCACAGGAAAAGCCAACCAAGAGATGAAGACAATCAAACCAGGCTCCAACATTTGTTATTTTAAATTTACTGTCTGCAAACATCTCTCAAAATTATATCCATAGTTTATTGAACAGTCTCTAATGCATAAACTGCACAAATCTGCCACAAATCCTCATCCAGCAAATCTGCGAGAACAAAACTCCCTTCAGCTGCCCGCCCCTGGCCAGTCAGCCAGAAAAATCTGCCCCCTTAGTAATGCTAACAACTTTTTCATCTTTGGCCTGTGTTCATAATGCCGTGTGAAACTGTAATATTTTCTTAGTCTGTTGCTTAGCACTAAATAGTACATGTCTGTATTTGAGCATCTGTACAGTTTAAGGATGCAGCTTGCCAACCAAGCTGACTAGTGTTAGATTACAACTTAATTCTCCAACCTCTCATCCAAATACGGTCATTTCTGGCACCAAAAAAACAGCATGGCAGCTGCCAATACTCCAGCATAAATGCACACTCCAGAAACTAATGAGTGACATCATGATAGCTATTGTCAGTCCTAATAATAATTGCTTTACTAGACTTGTTATCAGTGTTACTGCTTATAAATAGCTTTTCTAACTAATATAGGTGCCTGTACATTTACAGCAACACTAGTTTAATGCCCAATCACACATCCATCCATCTTCTTCACTAATTCAGGGTTGTGTGGGGTAATGAAGCCTTTCTAAGATGATCAGACTATAAATTAAAAGGTAAGGAAAACAAAACAAAACAAAACAAAAAAACAAAACCCTCTTCCTGTCAGCCATTTACCTTCATGCATTTTGCTTCTGTCTATATATTACTAACACGAGCAATGAGCAATGTATCCAAAGCGTACCCAGAACAGTTTCCTAGCAAAGAAGGGATTTTTCAGATTACAGAACCTTTAATCTGCAGTCTGCAGCTACGTCTGTGAGGCCTGTGAGTTTTCTGTCAGCTGGTACAACACATACAGTACAGGATATCACACCACTTCTCTTTCTTTTGGAAAAAGAGAGGTTTGTGATATAGCGTTTCATTTTCTTTGACCTTAGAAAACATCCATCAGCTAATTTGTCAAATTGTTCGATTTCATTCAGTCACACTAGGAATCAGGTGGATTTCCACATTCAGTACCTCGAGAGCTTACAAGTGGCTGTTAAATTGGATAAATGGACATGATGGCATTTTCTATAAAGATACATAACAGCAGATTTAGGATAACAGCAACAAATCTTTCTTTGGATGGAGGTTTTTACCTCTATAAATGAACATGAGAGTCTCCCACAAGCACATGCACAGCAGGGGGTCCTTCACCACCAAACGAGTGAGGCGTCCCGTCAGGTGTCCATCTGATCTCGGCATGTCATCAATAATACTCCCATCCCAAGTGGAAAGCAGGGAGTGGGGGCCTCCGTCACGCTCTCTGCAAACACACCGCGACTGTGGACGTTCCCTGTCCAACCAGAGATAGAAGAAAATGTTTCAGAGTTACAGAGAAGTTTGCCAAAATAGTTGGGCTCTCGCTGGCTACAGACTCAGGTGGTGAAATAGGATATTAAACCCCATGCTGTGAAGAGGTTAATATCTCTTCTACCTGGTCTTGGGCCCAAGGAGCAGCTGTCTGAAGTACGGGCTGACAGCACACAGCACAGCGGCATGCGCCCAGCCCAGCTCTTTCCCAGAATCCCCGGCATAGAAAGCCACATCGGCGAACTGCACGCCACGCTCCAACAACCACTGCATGTCCTGGGAGAAGCTGGACTCCTCCACTCTAATAGGGGGAAGACGAGCTGAACAGAAGAGAGCAACAAAAGAAACGAGTGAGGGTGGACAGAGATGATGAGCAATTACTGCCGAAATTCAGTTTGCCTCCATATCAAAGAGTAACACAGAATATTGAATGGGTTTGTTATGTTCAAAGCCTCTCAGGAGTGTTTTAGTATTGATATTTGGTGTACTCAATTTTCCGTCAGTCTACCTTGTTTACTTGTACTTGTGTTTTCTTGGGAGGGGGTTGGCAATGAGTTGTGACAACTCAGAGAGAAATTGGGGTGTACAGTGCAGGTCGAGGGAGTGATTTTGTCAGCAACAGCACAGTGAGATTTTAAAGCCAAGAAAAAGAGACAGAGCCAAGATAGGTCATTTTTGTCCTTTCTCGTTGCTCATGTTTAAAGAACGGCTTCCAGGTACGTTTGTCTTTGCATTAATAACAGTCCTTAAAAGATGAAAGCAGCTCAAGGGTGCTGCAGTGAAATTCTGGTCTAGTCTGGTCTGGTCAGAGACTGAAAAAGGACCTGAAGTTGACCTTTATTTGTCAACTTTACTTTTAAATTGTTTTGGTGATAAAACACTAAAATGAACAGCACATCCCAAAACTTTGGGATTAAAAAGATTTGAACTAATCTAATAAATGAAGAAGACACAAAAAGTAAAAACCAACAAAAAAAAGACAACGATTTGCAGTGAACTGTGTGACAAACGTGAATACACAGAAAATTGCAACAAAGAAAAACACAACAAAGTGTCTCTTGGAAAAATGGGAGGCAAAGCTGTGCACGCTCAGTGTTTCATGCATTCATGAAGTCAAATTAGTAAAAAGTGAAAAAGCACTGAGCAGGGGAACAAAGAAGGCAGGGCGAGGGTGCTTCAGCTTCACTAATCATTGGCCTATTATATTCCTATTGATGCTTAATACTTACTGCACCTCTGTGGAGCTCATCTCCTTTTTTATGAGTGCTCTGTTTTAGCCATGACAACTGTGCCGCTTCTTAATCCCCGCATGTCATATTTAATGTAAGCTACACCGTAAAGGGAGCTAAGCAGTGTCGAACGACACCAATAAATCCTGCAGGCACTTGCTGCCATTTTTTTTGGCAGCACTTAAAAATGTCAGTCAGATTTAAACAGCCGAAGCGGAAACCTGCTCGGATCAATATTTAACACAGGTTTAACGGCGTAGTTTGTGTTAAATATGTTCAGGTTTTTTTTAAAAGCATGACTTTGCATGCATAGAGGAATGGCCATAGTAGAGAGGAGAAGAAAAGTGAACCAAGGAGTGCAGCTCTGTATTCTAACCCCCTCCCTGAATACAACACCAGACTACTTCGTCTACTCGAGGTGTTGGAGTTGTTACTTTTAATTTCCTGGTTTCAAATTCAGCGCACAGAAAGCTTTCAGTTTGTGGCAACATCCAGCAGCCAGTTGCAGCTTTAATCAGACTCTCTTGTATCCAATTAGGACAAAGAGCGTCCAAAACAGCAGAGCATTAAGAGAAAGGAAGAGCAGCAGACATGCAGCCACCGAGCACTCCAGCTCAGCCCGGTTCTTTTTCAGCGTTTCTACAGTAATCAAACTCGCTGTGTCTAAGCTGTTTGCTGTGTGTCAGCCTTTCTGTGAGGTTTAGCCTCTTTTGATCATTTATCTCCTCATAATTTGCGGTCTTTTGCAGAATGTGACTGGATAAGACGCAGTTTGATTAAGTCTGCAATAAATCTGCAAGGGCCTCCAAAAAAAAAAAAAAAAAGCGAGAGAGAAGAGAGAACTTTTAACATGAGTGGCTTTTTGCAGCTTAATTACAATTTCATCTAAAATTCTGAATTTCAGATAAGCAGACTAAGACTAAATAACATCTTAAGTAATTAGTCAGCAATTAACTGGCAACTTTTTGATTTATAATGGACCATTTGAGTCATTTTGTAGTGTGAGCAACTTAAAGAGAGAAACTGTCTGGTCTTTCTTTGTTTTTTTAAACATCCATGATCGCTCTTCTCTAGATCAGCGGTCCCCAACCCCCGGGCCGGTCCGTGAGTCGTTTGGTACCGGGCCGCGAGAGTTGAGGCTCAGGTGTGAAATGTATAGTTTTCAGGGTTTTTATCGGTTTTCAGCGTTATTTTGTTATCGTTTTTAGCGTTAACTCGGTTTTCCTGGGTCTTTTCACGTGTGTTATGAATAAATCTTCTTTTTTTCGGTACCGGTACTAGTTTTATTTTGTTGTATTTATCCGTGACACCTTAAAGGCCGGTCTGTGAAAATAATGTCGGGCATAAACCGGTCCGTGGCGCAAAAAAGGTTGGGGACTGCTGCTCTAGATTTTAGAAGCTCATCACCATTGCCTTGACAAAAATCATTATAATCAACACATTTATTTGGTTATAAAGATAATTTTTTGTTGTTGGGGGAAACATATTGTGAATAATTAACTCCAATAATAGGCATGAAAAATTAAAAACACATAGCATACAGGACAAAGCGCTGAGCTGACAACATGAGAGGGCTTCACTAAAAGATGAGGTTAAAGAGTAATCCCACAGTCACATAAGAACAATCACTGAGCTGCCTCCACCAAACGCAGGGAACTCAGCTGTTACTGCTTCTGTTTGCTCAGGCTAAAATTGATTCAAATGTCAGTGAATAAAAGTGGTCTACCTAGCTCTTTGTCTTTCCAGTTTGGAACAGAGCGTATTGATCCAGATAAAAACCTTTGTGCTCAGCTCTTTTTATGGCTATGTAAGCGGTAACAATCCATCCAGTTCACTGAATGTTTCTAAACACCATAAACACGGCAATTGACAAAAATATATATAATTAAGAAATATATTTTTAAAAAACACACACAGGCTACAAATCTGCTTAAATGAATTAAAAATGGCAGGCATGCATGACACTTGAAATAAAGCCAGGATCACTCGTTGCTTGGCATAGTATTCCTCTGACCTGGCTGTTCTAAGTGAGGGGGGCGAAGTTCATTCACTTTATTTCCTCGCCTCTTCTCTGGCCTCTCTTTGGCTTTGTGTTTCAGACACTGAATCATGAAGTACTCCAGCTAAACAACACAAACAACATACATGTTATTTGAAAATCTGTACAAAGATAGTGAAGTTACATCATCATCTTGTTGGTTTATTAATAACTTCCCGGGACGTCGAACCTGTCACTGTCTCCCCTACTAAACACTGCATCTACAATCTGGAAACGCAGAGTTACTCTACTTTGAAGGAAAAGAACATCGTGAGAAGTGTTTTTCTCTTTCTCTTCTTTGGGGACGCTGAGTCAAAAACACACCACAGCATCAACTCTGACTCCAGTGTTGCATCATCACTTACCACGCTGCCAAAGTAGCGACCCACGAAGACATGGTTGAGGGAGGGCAACTCCAGATAGGTGGCCCCCAAGTCCCGGGACAACTGCAAACCTTCACTGTGAGGTACGCAGCTGCTCCAGTCAGAGGCACACAGTGGACACGTACAGGGGGGGCCTTCATCTGAAAACAGAAGAATTCAAGTGAAGGATGAGGTAATACGTACTTTACTAATAACTAGTTTATGTGTGTATATGTGAAGGAATACATGTGCTATTGATGTTACATTATCCTTTTTGAGAAGCATGAACCTACTAAGGCAGTACTAGATCCATGTGTGACTCAGTGAGTTCTACTGAACCACTCAAGCACAGAGGAAAAGAATAACATGCCTTTGACAAAGGAGTAGCAGCGCACTGAAGGGCACTCAGCAAAATTTTACAGATTCTAAGAAATAATTTGATTTAAAATAGTCACAAACACACCCTCCCCTCAGGTGACTGAAATTTCCATGGCAAACATTTAGCCTGTTCAGATGAGCAATGTTCCTCAATAATTACAATAAAAAGTTGCAGAAAAATAAACAATAATAAACAAAAAACAATGCCCTTACTTCCGTCTTACAGAATGCAAAAGTGTTGTGTTGTTAGTCAGTGCTGCTGGAGCAAAAAATACATTTTGCAAACTAAACTAGAATGGAAAGCATGTTTCACAAATCAGAACATATGAACCAGATGCTACAACCACATGTGGCTTTTATGGTGTGGCCTCGCCCTTTTTCCCGATTCCTCAATTCTTTCTCTGGGTGACTATGTAGAGAGCTAGCGAGGGTTTTTAAAAGGGAAATAAATAAATATTTCTGCTGCACACCCCAAGCTGCAATTTCTTCAGCAAGTTGATGAAGGGGGAGAGGGGGGGGTCAGTAATTGTACAGCAAGATCATATAGATGTGTAAAATCTGCAGTGGCACGTGGACTAGGACTGGCTGTACTGTGGCATGTGTGCACAGGGAGACCACAGAGACAGAATCAGACAGAAAATTAGAGGGATTATCTTGAAGGAGAAAAAAAAAGACTAGAGCAAGGGCTGCACAAAGGAGGAGAGAGAAAGGCAGAATCTGCAGGACATACAGCCAAGTCCCGAGGCACTGGATAAATCATATTGCTAATAACCCACAGGCGTGACACAGAGACGATGGCAGGCTGAGAGCGTGTGAGTGAGTGCAAGGGTGGCAGCAGGAAAAGGAGTGTGTGTAAGTGCGCGCGTGAGCATCGGAGCGGCTGTGACTTGGCATATCGGTGGTATGTTTGTGTGAGCAATGGTGTGTGTGCGTGCCCTTGGATAAATCTGTCTGCGCTCCTCCGTTCTTCGCTGGTTTAATGGCTGCATTAATGCACGTGCGGCAGCGCTCCCCCTGCCACAGATGTGCCTTAGGTGGTCTAAAGACAGGAAGCGCTCAGACTTCAGCCGTCATTCTCTGCAGTCACAGTGGTTGAGGGGGTGGGGGCTTGCATGAAACTACTCACAGCAGCTGCTAAAAAGAAAAGAAAAAGAAAAAAGCAAACACAAACAAAAGCTCTGGTCTACAGTGATCCACTCCCCTCTCGTTTTTCTCTCTCTTCAGACTTGACTTTCACTGTGATCACTCTGCTGCAGTGCTCTGACAGGATTTCAAAGTATGTTGAGCACACGTGCTAAAAATATAACCTGGTACATTTGATGGGCTTGTTTACAGGATTTAATTTTAACAGGGTGGGGGTCACTCACTGAGATGCCAACACATGTGTGTTATGTTAATGCTTATTTTGTTAAGCAGCCTCCATCCATCCTGCTGAAGGCACATACTTCTGTTCTGGTGCACTTTTTTTTTTTTTGCACCACGACAATGAACTCTTGTCTACAAGCAAGGCTTCTTTTTTTTGGAACAGAAAAGCCCCAAAGTTGTACTGTACACTGTACTTCTTTGGAGTGTTTCCTGTGGGGAAGCATGTGAGCTGACAGCCTGAAGGCAGCCAAGAGGAGATTTAATCATGAGCATCCTCCTCATTGCTGTGCGGACATGCTAGAGGATACAAGACTCACTGAGTGATCTCAGCAAGAGGAGCATAATGCTGTCCCGAAACCAAAACCAACAGCTAAGGCAACAGTAAGCTGACCTGAAATTGCCAGGATATCCAGTACAGTGACAGCTCATATGCAGCAAAGATAAACAGTTGGAGGGTTGGCAAGCCATGTTGGCTAAACTAAACTAGGTCCTGCTCCAACAAAAACACAGAACAAAAGGCATCCTCACCATTCAGCCGCGCTCCCACAGCAACGAGGATGACGGGCACGCCCCAGTGCCTCAGGAGTGGGCGGAGTCTCGGAGCATAGCCATTCCTGACCTGCTGGAAGGCCAGCTTGTCAGTGACTGAATATTTAATAACTAAAATGTCCGCCTGCTCAAGAACTTTCCGAACACTGGCCCAGTCGCTGTCCAGCAAGTCCTAGAAAGGCAAGGAAAGGATGACATTTGTAAATAGATGGAGGGCTGAGACCCAAGCAAAGACATACACAGAGATGTATCTACACCCCTGTCTTCACCACACCTCATATAAACCTAACTCTTCCTCTCATATAAGTACAAATTCCTCAGTGTAACTGTGTTTTTTAACTTTACCCCCAAGAGATCTTTATGAGGCTAGCTACTCTAAACCAACTTAATTCAACCCATTAGGAAGGAAAAACACTTCAGAAAGCTTTGAGCATTTTGAATTAAAAATAAAAAGGCAGAGATGGAGAATTAGACAAACAGACTTCCACCAGCAACACCCCTGACGGGGTTAGACAGGCCTATAATAGGATGCATACAAACCCCTAACAGTGCATATGCTATTAAGAACAAAAGTTCTTTCATCAGGTTTTTTCTGCAGTGCATGTTAAAATAGCGTCCTAAGAATAGAGACGTTTTTATAAAGCCTGCAATCAGCGCTGCAAGGCAAGGGCTGCTGGAAGTTGAAATGTTGTAGAAGGCTGTATCTTCTGAGAAACAGAAGCAGACTGAAAAGTAAACAGCATATACATTAAGTAACTCACATTTTCTCACAGTACTCTGGAAATGCCCCTGAATTGGCATAAAACCAGCACAGACTATCAAGAGGATGTAAATGCAGAGGAAAAAAGCCATAATAGCACTTTAAGATCAGACTTACAGCGCACAAATACATGCACAAGCCAAAGTCATAATGTAACAGCTGACTCATGCAGGTGTCTCTGCTTCTCTCAGTCTGCTCACTCAAACACACCACCTGTCTCTTACCCAGCTGGGACAATCCCGAACCACTACCGTGACATCTCCAAAGACACGTGAGGTGTACTCCATGAAAGCCGGGTTGTGCATACTGCTCTCTAGGTCGCACGGTCCCACCATGGCTCCCTGACCCAGGTAGCTCCACAGCAATCCCCCCTGCAACTGCCCCTGCCCCAACATCTCATCTCCTGGACCGACTCCTCCGGGGCACTCGCTGCCCAGCGCCACGATGTGGATGGACCTGCAAGCCAGACAACTCGTGGTTGAAAGTGAACTGAAGGCATCACACAGGTAGATGATGGTGATGATCAAAGAGCACCGAGGGAGCGGAGGCTCCTCTCTTTGCACTGGACCTTATTATTCATGTCTCTCACGGAGACAGTGCATCACGGTTATGTCACTGAAAATCACTGAAGAGAAGCTCGCCCAGGCCTTCATTATCACACCTGAGTGGGTATTATGTTAGAATAATTCAGACGGACAAATTATTCCCGCTATATTTGTGTGTTTTCCAAGCAGTGATATACTGAAAAAAATCAATAAGGCATGCAACCAGGAGCCCCATCTCTTCATAATCCTTAATGAGTTGCAGCTCCAGAGGAACTTACATTGTGGTCACCGCGGTTTCGTTCAGCTGCTTTATGCTATGGAGCCCGTTTCCCTCTCACGGTGCCTTTCCACGCCAGTCTGCAGTCAAGGCTCGCTTTTTCCGCAATGAGCCGCGGCTCGGCTCCGTCGTTAATCCCTCTCATCGGTGGCTGGCCCCCCGGGAGCCCGGCTGTAGGGGGAGTTTCGCAGTCACGGGCATTTCCCCGTCTCGTTATTCATTCATAAAAGCGGAGTTCGACACCGTCCCGAACCGACCGCAGAGGCGCACCGGACAGCCCAGCCGGCGGAGGAGGAGCAGCAGAGTGTGTAAACAGCAGCGCCCATGGACAGACAGCCAGTGCGCTAACAGGCGAACAAGTTGTCAGTCGGTAGGAAACAATTAACTACGGAGAGGGAGGGTAGCTTCGCGCCTCGGTGTCCAGACTGTATGGATGACGTCGGTGGATGAAACAAAGTGTCGCTAGCAAAATAACAACTGGGAAGGAAGAAAGAGAGAGAGAGAGAGAGAGAGAGAGAGGAGGGTCGACTGAACCGTGAGCGGCCGCGTCTGACTCAGCAGCACACACGCGCGGACACACACGCGCCAACACACGAGCACAAACGAACACCCTCACCCGTTTTTGTTTACTCGGACTTACACCTTTTTGCCTCACCGCAGCTTTGCCCCTCTGCACGGCTCGTGTGTGCGCCTGCCACCATTCTGCTGCCCCACACTGTCACCGCACTCCTCCACAGGCGTTCACACAAAAGTTAACTGCCTCGAGCTGGAAGCACGGGGCTCAGTGTTAATGACAGGGATAACAATAATGACCACCAAAGTGAGCACGTGACCGGCTATTTGCTGACACTGCGACGACATTTAAAATGCTTAAACCAGCTTTTTTTCGGGAGGTGTTTTGTTGTTGTGGGAGAGGTAGGTAAAAGGTAATAATAAGATCTGGCTGGCTCTCTTGGAAAAGCTCCAGGGCATCCACTGAGAATTGAGGGGAAGAATAGCCTGACCCTTAAAGGCTTAATCAGAGCCTCATGGGTCATTCGCAGCCATTATGAATAATGCATAACATAAAACCAGGGCTTGAGTTTGAATGCCCTTCTACACTGAAAATCTGTGTTGCTTACATGCTCTCCTTCTGGCAGATGCACTGGCCCTGCTAAGCACTTTCCCCACAGTCTGCTCTTTATCTTGACAAACAGCCCACCGCTTGACCTATTACAAATGACCACCTGCAGACAATGGCCACTGCCTTCTGTCAAGACTCCCAACTTGATTATGTAATTAAACTGCCCCCTTATTCCATGTAACCCATGGGTGTTTCTTGACTGTATCTGAAGAGTCACACAGTACTGTTTGCTATAAGCCAGCTAGAGAATAGCATCATTCATGCACAGAGGGGCTCTATACCCCACAGCATTTGTGCTCTCAACCAATGTCACTATTGTACAATTCTGGTACAGAAACAGAGAAATAATCTGAATGTGACAGGCTGCCTTGACACTTCAAATCAAATGGTTAAGAAATGCTACAGCCTCATTCTTTTGCACTGCATGTGAAGTATAGGAAAGCCATGCATTAAGTCATATTAATTCTACTGACATGTGATTAAATAGATAATAATAAGACTAACTGTATGTATTTTCCCTGCTTTGTGAAATTGTTAATCCATCCGTCCATCCATCTTCTTTTGCTTATCCAGCTAATGCCTGCAGTTGAGCTAGAGCCTACCATAGCTGTCATAGGGGAGAGGTGGAGTGTATCCTGGACAGGTCACCAAATCTAGTTGGATACAATACTGGATAGAAATAAAAGTATCCCCAACAAAAACCATACATTTTATACAAAATATGCAGGGCCCCCTCAGAGGCCGCAGAGCCAGACAAATGCCTGCTGTATCTGCAACCCTCCAAGACTTCTTGGATTATCTAATTTCTCAGCAAACAGGTTTTTGTTTTTTGCAGTTACTGGGGGAAAAAAATATGTGACAATAATCCCAAATACGTAAATCTATGCAGCCTCTGAGATCATATACTTGCGTTCTAAAGTCATCTGAAGCAATACAGAGACTTGGATACTGCAAAACCACTCCACTCTAGGATCTCATCAGTGCTACTGATTCCTTCCCTGTATGCATACTACACAAAGAGTATTGGATGTCACTGTCCTATATGAGATGGATGACACAGAAATCAAAATTCATCCTTAGAAATGTTTATTTAGAGATGGAGATGATGCTATTGACAAACAGACATCAATGTTAAATGGCAATGCTTTACCAGTGTTTAAAATAAACCATCATCCATACAAACATGTAAATACAGTCAAAAATGACCAAAAACAAGAGCCACTCTAGAGCTATCTATCCAACTGAGTGCTTATAAATTGACCACAGAGTGCATGTCATCACTAACAACCTTGCCATACAGTCATCATGCAATTATTTAGAGGAGATCAAAGCAGACAAAAAGAAAACACTTGGGTGCAATCTTCATCCATTACTGTCAAGATGTTTCCTTCTCAGACGCCTCAGCTTTGGCTCTTTCTATCTTGCCTTTTTCTCCTTGGTAGTAATCTGATTCAATCCAATTTGGGTTATCAGAGAGCTTGACGTAGATCTCCCCGTTGTTCTCTTTGACTGTGTGCGTTCTCTGCTTCACACCCTTGGAGTACCATCTGGGCACAGGTGGCTTTTCCTTGGGGTTGGTGCCTTTGTATAAGCACTCCCCTTTGGCTAGAGTGAGCTTGTACTTATGCTTCGGACAAATTATGCACAGCTTGCCGTTAATTTCCTGCATGTGGACAAAAGGCAGGTAAATGACCTTGTGTGTATGTCATTTTAGGTTTCTTTGCACTATAACATAATAATACAATATCCTCACAGCCTTAGCCCAGCATTTGCCTTTAGTCATTTGGTGCAGATACGAGAATATGTTAAATCAGGAATGAGATAATAACTTAAGCCAAGGCAAAGGAAGCTTATTTATATATCACCCTTAAATGCTATAGTCATTTAAAGGGTGGGGGGGAGAGAAGAAAAAAGAAATAATAACTATAATAATACAGATACCAGATTACTTAAAAGCAGTAGTGATTAATAACATTTCTTAAAAACAGCCAAGGTTAGAGAAGATCAGTTGAGATGGTTGAGATGAGGCTTTTGTAGTGAATGGCAGTAAATTCAGACATGAAAACTGTGTTAAGTATTCATGTGTTTAGTTAAATTACTGCTTGAGTGATTGTAGAAGACATTTGCTCTGATATTTTGGAATGTTGTCTTGATCTAACCCTCGTAATTTCAACCTGAAACTCACCTCAATGTCGCCGTTGTTCAGCGTTCCTCCAGCATCTGCCGAAATGACGGAGTATCAGTGTATCACAAAATAAACAAACACTTTCCAGATGACATGTGCTAAAATGTTCAATAATTTATTAAATAATGAAGCCCAGTGTTAAAGGTCCCAGTGTATTTCCTCTCTCTGCAGTGACCACTATGAGTTTTTCACTAGAAGAATTGCACTTACGGTAACAGTAAGAATCCATAGCATAGAAGACTCCCTGGTGGTAGATAATCAGTATATCCCGATCGTCTATTGTTCTGAAAGACCGCTTTGCTTCAATAAGTTCATCCTTCTGGCCCATGAAATGGAGGCCTCTTGCTGACTGCTCGTTCTCCTCCATTTGTCTGCCAAATGCTGTTTTGAGGTCAAGAAGGTCATATCATCATCTTTCAATATATTAATCTAAAACTTTCCAGCACCAGTTCTCAAGGTTGTGTGTATTTGTCCCTCCATTATTCTCATATGTGACCCAAAGTGACTATGGTGTATTTTAGGGTAAAAACTTAACTGAATCCACACACGTAAAAAAGTGTGGGCTTTGGATTCGTCACTGGGATTATTGTGTTGGCACCTCACCTCACAGTTGTCAGCTTAAATTAAGTCCAGAACAACTCAAGAACACTCATGTAAGAACATTTCTTGGCACCGATCAGCTCTGCTCCAAACACACCAAGGCCCTAAGCTTTAAGCCCTATTATCTGTCTCATGATTATTTGGTATCCATCGTAGTATAGAAAATAAAGCTGCTGTGCTAAACACAAGAGAACAGTGATTTCACTAAATGACCTACATGAATTGGCTCAAACTGTATGGGAAATACAAAAACAAAAAAACTGACAGAGATTCAGCTGTCATCATTCAACACAAGAATGGGTTATCCAAAGATCAGAGTGCTACAGTGTCCTCCTTGTAGGCACCATATACCAAAAATATCTGAATGTGAGGATGATTCATGTTCATGTATAGTGGAGTGGAATAATGAGCCCTACACACAGGATGAGTAAGCACAGTAGTAGTAGCAGCGAAAGTCACATGCCCTGAAGCCTGTGGCAAAAGCACAGCCAGCTGAAATGAGCAAGCAGGAAATATAATGTCATATCAGGAAGAAGAAAAGTCTTCAAGTGATCCTTTAAGGACTTTCAGTACCTCTGCGCTCCTCTCTCTCCTCATATGGTGGTTTTGCTTCAAAAATAACTCATTTTACTTTTGCATCGTCTTACCTTGAAAGTCAGCCACTGTATCGCCTCTGTCAAGCTGAACAAGTGTACTGCTGACAACCCAGGGTTGTGTGGGAAAAATGGGGGCTCATGTCTATTATCTTCAGACACAAGCTGTCTGTTGGTTGGTCCTACACTGAATACATTTCTTATCAGTTTCTCTCAGGCACATCAGCTACAAAGATTGTAAAGAAATGCGTACATGTTGGTTTAAGCATTCACTGGAAGACATTTCTATCATTTTCTTTAAAAAAAAAAACAAAACAAACTAGTTATTTAAATCACATATTTAATTTTTTAAAAAAAATTCAGTCCAATGCATTCAACTGCTTTGGGATTCACCCCAAAATTAACATAATTCAAGCTGAATTATGATAAGTAAAACGAGCAGTAATGGTGGTGGAAAGTAGCTTTATAAAATTAGGAGATAATTTTTTTTTATATATCAAAACTGGCTTTTATACTAGTGTTTTGATTCTACAGCTGACGTTATTGGTCAGAGATTTTGTTTTTTTCATGTGAAAGAAACATATAATGATATATTTTACATATATGCATTATGCACAATACATTATTATAGACTTAATAACCGGTTTGCATAGTGACATTATATTATAGAGACAACAGAATATATGCTAACAGGAATAATTTAGTGATGTAATGCTATATTAACATACGTTATATAAGCCAATATTAGAATACCTTTTATATTTATTGATTGGTTTAGACTTGATTTGATAATTTTTGGTGTTCTACAAACCGGAACTATCTGTGTCATTCTTTGCGGAGTGCCCGGAGTATTTTCTCGGCGCTCCGCTCTCTCTTCCTTGTCAAATCATTCACTGTAAGTAGTTTGTGCTGATTTCTTGAAAATAATTGACTTATAATGGCCTCGTGCAGTCTGTGAGCGTGAAGATCAGCAGTGCGTCCGGTGGAGCAGAAACATCCACAGAGATAAGAGAGACCATAAAAGCGGCGGTTGAAGGCTTCACATCCGATTTGAAAGCTAGCGAACCGTGTGCTGTAAATACTAACACATTTCTTTCCGTCAGTAAATATTTAACCGTCGCGACTGTGTTTTACAAAATAAATCCATAGAATCTGGTATAGAATTAGTCTTTAACTGTCGCTTGAGTTTAAAATAAATATATAAAAGAATTAGTCTTCCCGTAAAGCTACATTTCAAAACCTGCACTGAGCTGGTTTAGAGTGTTTATAACTATTTTCACAGGACTTAGTACCACATGTACAATAATAAATGTACCCATCATTAATCTTTTCAGTAACTAACTAACAAAAAGCGACATGCACAATTTGCTAGTACTGGATTGGACCCCCTTTGGTTTTCAGGACTGCCTTAATTCTTCTATGGGTTATGGTCCATATTGACATGACAGCATGTCAATATAATGTTAATCTCCTGTTCCAGCATATCCCAAAGGAGCTTTTTTGGCCATTCAAATACAGTGAATAGCCTGGCTTAAAACTTGTCGTGCTCAAGAAACCAGTTTGAGATAATTTGAAGTTTGTGATATGGCACAATTAGATTAGATAAAAACTTTATTAATCCCTCGGGTGGGTTCCTCTGGGAAATTTGTTAACGTAACAATATCCTCCTGGAAGCAACCATCAAGAGATGGGTACACAGTGGTCTTAAAAGGAATGACATGCAGGCTGTGAAGTTAAAATTGGTACCAAGAGGCCAAAGTGTGGCAAGATAATAATTCCCACACCATTACACCATCACCACCAGCCTGATGTATGGTTGGATCCATGCTTTCATCTTATTTACATAAAATTCTGACCCTACCATTCAAATATTGCAGTACAAATCGAGACTCATCAGACCTGGCAACATTTTTACGGCCATCTTCTATTGTTCAAGTTTGGTGAGACCGTGTAAATTGTTTTTTCAGTTTCTTGTTCCTGCTTCAAGGTTTGACATGCTGTGGATTAAGAAATGCTCCTCTGCATACGTTGGTTGTAATGAACAGTTATTTGAGTCCCTCCTGTCAGCTCAAAGCAGTCTGGCCATTCCTCTGAACTCTGGCATCAGCATAATATAGTCAAGCAGTGAACTGCCACTCACAGTGTATTTTCTGTGTTTCAGACCATTCTCTGTGAACCGTAGAGATGGCCTTGTGGCAAAATCTCAGTAGATCAGCAGTTTCTGAAATACTTAAACCATCCCAACTGGAACCAACAGCCATGAAAAGCCACTTAAATCACCTATTCTGACACACACTTTGAACGTAACCAAGTCGTCTTGACCTTAAAGTTGTGGCCACGTGATTGGCTGATTAAATATTTGGATTAATACAGTTGAGCAAGTGTACTTAACAAAGTGGCCTGTGAGTATATATACATTTGTCTATGTTAATATTTGTGGGCATGTGTACCTTATCTGTAAAATACACATTTATGTAACAAATGCAAAACATGATGCATAAACAACAAAAAATGACTAGCACTGGACTTTAATTAAGGCACTGTTGAAAGAAATGTTATATTTTAGTTGAGTGCAGGATGCATCAGTTTGTGGTTTGACACTTTAAATTTGTTCTATATCTGCGGTTATAATATGTTGTCATCATCCAATAAAGTCCTTAGTTTTCTGGAAAGCAAACACACAATAACAGAGGAATTGTGTTTGTGTATAAGTTGCTTTAACAGGAAGATGGTACTGCGAGCTTGTGGCTTTATCATATTTCGCCGTCTTGTCGGCCGCATCCCTCCTCCAGGCAACATCGAGTATCTCCTTCTGCAGACATCTTATGGGGAACACCACTGGACGCCACCGAAAGGTGTGTTTAAGAAACACTAGATTGATTTTTTTCTTCATTGCAGAAAATTACACGTTAATGAGTCTTTTTTTCCCCCAAATAAATTCACCATAAGGTCATGTGGACCCAGGTGAGGATGACCTCACCACAGCACTGAGAGAGACCAAGGAGGAGGCGGGGCTGGGGACAGAGGACCTGAAAGTGATAAAAGGCTTTGTTCAGGAGTTGCACTATGAGGTGCGTGGCAAACCCAAAGAGGTGCTGTACTGGTTGGCTGAGCTGAAGGACCCAGGGACTGCTGTGACTTTGTCTGATGAGCACCAGGATTACCGCTGGGCCCAGCTAGAGGAAGCCTGCACTCTGGCCCGGTACAAAGACCTGCAGGACACACTGAGAGCAGCACACAGACACCTAGAGGCATGTCAGGACAAACAATGATGTGTCACAGAGGAGAAGATCATAAATGGGAAGTAACTGCCTGCTGGTATGTGGGATCGTACCAGAAAGACTCCCTTAAGTCACAAAAAATCAGAGAGAAAATAAAATCAATAGTTGAACGCTAATTACAGCACAAAAATACGACTGTGCCCTTGAATCTCCTTAGTAATAGGATTAAATGCATAAATGATGTGTTTTTGATTGTAAATAAGCTGTATTGCAGGTTTGTGCATTACAGCTGTTTTTTTGGTCATTTTTTTTCGGTCTGTCTCCAGTTTGAATTAAATTTAGACCAACACGAAGGTTTTCTCCTACCTTTGATACTTACTCAGCTTTACATCATTTCTGAATGGATTGTTTTGTTTTGTGTTTTTTTTTTAAACATGTATTACAAAGATGCAAGGGGATACTGGGCTAATAATAGAACAGTCAAGTGAAACACTAATGATAAAAATAAACTGTAAACAGCAGATGCTGCCACATGGTGGGGACAAACAGTTTTTTTCCCTAAAGCTGCACATTTGATATCACAAGCATAAAATAGCAGAGCTGCAACAGATAACTAACATCATCATTGTCATGAGGAAAAGTTCTACATTAAATATAACAGTTAAAAAAACCAACATCTTTGGATCTAAATACATTTATTTGCTCAGAAGCAAATGGTGGGAATAAACATCATCCTTTTCTTGGGTACTGCTGCTCTTTTATATAAGTACAGTTAGACAGTCTGCTCTGGATTTCACGATAGAGGATTATGCCTTTGCTTGAAAGGATAAAGTGAGATTTTTGAGGGAAATAAATGTGTGCCTTCAACTCAAGAAGCAGAATGGGAGCGCTTATGGTTTTAATTACCTGTCATCTGTCATTATGAAGACACAAACGGGCAACGGCAGTGATCATGTAAGTGGAGGTCACTGAAACACTGATACATCTACCTTAATATATTAGAAGATATAATATTTACAAAAACGTAGGTCAGTAATGATTTTTTTATGTCTGTCAAGAGATTACAAGCTCTTCCAACAAATATTAAAAGCCGACTAATGGATTTGAAATTACCCTCACGAGTAAACATTAACACTGAAGTATTTATTTACTTTTTTGGCTTCTTTTTATGCTATGGTGTTTCCTAATATCATCTCGCACAGTAATCCAGAACCCCCCTCTGCAGCCACTTCTTGGATCTCTTCAGTGGCAAAACCACCAACTCACCCAAGGCATGTAGTCTTTCCAGCGTGTCCTGGATCTTCCCCGAGGTATCTTCCTGGTGTTCTATGACAAAAACACCTCACTACAAGGTGCCCTGGATACATCCTCATCAGAACACTGAATCACCTCAGTGAGCTGTTTTTGATAAAGAAAAGTAGCAGCTCTACTTCCAAATGACTCCTCACCCGATCTCTACGGCTGAGCCCAAACACACTTCAGATGAAACTCACATCTACTGCTTGTTTCTGTGATCTTATTCTTTTGGTCACTAGCAGGAGCTCATGGCTGTAGATAGATAGACTGGTAAATTGACAGCTTCACTTTCCAGTATAAGACCCTCATCACTACCAACACCGCAAAACCATATTTATCTTCCACTCCACTCCTCACTCGTGAAGAAGAGCCAAGATAATTCAATTCCTTCAACAGCTCCAGGTGCAGACGCTCTTGGGAAGAGTGTTACTACTGGCAATATGAGCCATGCTTTTGTGATGGTTGTACAGGGACTGAATATGACAATGAGCCAGGTGCCCCATTCTCCCTAAGCACCCGGACACCTCAGAGGACGCAGTTATATGCCCTCTCCAAGTACACTCTAACAGAGGGACCCGCCGCCTCAGTACACTGGCAAGACCTTTCCAGGTGAGCTGAAAAGTGTGATTCCCATGTAATTGTAGCACACACAGTTACAAGAATAGTTACAGGAATCCCTGTATCACCGCCCCAGTCTGCTAATCCAGAGTCACTGCTCCAGACTTCCATAAAGACTTTGCAGAAGAGATTCAACCAAGAAAGCCCCAAAACATCATGAACCTTGAGGAAGTCAGGGTGAATTCCAGCCACCCAATGGCACAGTCATCTAGCAGTTGTTTTAGTATCTTTGTCACCTTAGCCATAGTGATGGCCCTCACCAGCTTTGTCTCTAGACTTACTTCTTTACACATATAAATTTGGAAAACCCAGGCACTGAAAGGGTGATATAAGAAAGATATCAAGAGTTTAAAATCCTTGAAGATTTTTTAATCCATATCCTTGGGTACAAAGTCTGGAATGAGCAGGCTCAACTGCCGGCATACTTGTGGTTTGTAGAGTTTCTAAAACTAGAATGGGAGGACAAGTGTTCAACTCTCAGGCTCCTCTCCTGTGGAACCAGCTCCCAGTTTGGATTCAGGAGACAGAGAGTAGAGAC